GTGGAACCCCGTTAATTCTACATAAATTTGATACTTCTTTTAGGGATGGGATGCTTTTTGTGGGTTTTCATGGGACTATGTTGGGTTTTACTTGGGGGCCATTGAACGTGTATGGGCCTCACACAATAGCGTTAAAAGATTTGTTTGTGAGTAAGTTGGCTATTTTTTGCAAAGTTTTAATTTCCATGTTTGTCTTGGTGGTGACTTTAACCTTATAAGATGGTCGGATGAGTCTTCATCTATGGGGTCCTATTTCTTCTAGAATGAGGTTATTCAATCGTTTTAATGAAGATTATTCTTTGATGGATCTTCTTATATACGGTGTTTCTTTTACATTGTCAAATAGAAGCTTGTCTCTTCTATCAATGTCTAAATTAAATAGATTTTTAGTTATATGGAGTTGGGCAGATGCCTTTCATTTGGTATCAGTCAGGGCCCTCCCACGTCTCTCGTCTGACTAAGTGCCTCTTCTTCAAACTAGTTTTCCTCCAGGCGGACCTAAGCCTTTTTGCATGGAGATTGGGTGGCTTGAGGAAAAACAAGTTGTTGAGTCGATAAAGGCTACTTGGGTGAATAATGTTACCTATGGTTCTATGGACTTCCAACTGTATAAGAAACTGATTAATATTAAACATAAGTTGATCCTGTGGAAGAAAGATAACAAATTTAATGTTAAGCCCAAGATTGACGAGGTTCTCATAGAAATTGAATCGATTGTATTCTCAACTAAGTGGGATTTTGACAGAGGAAATGATGAATGAAAGAAAGGTTAAACTCAAGGACCTTAATGACCTTCCTAGAATGGAGGAAATCTATTGGAGACAAAGGTCTAGGACCAAATGGGGAGGGTGATCTTAATACGAAGTATTTTCATGCCATTGCTAGTCCTAGGAAACATCAAAGTGATGTTTCTAGCCTATCTCTACATGGTATTAATGAAGATGATTGTGATGTAGAGATAGAGAGATCATTGCTCATTTCAAAAAGGCATTTTTTTAAAGGTGAGATTTACCCTTAAACTTGAAGAGTTCCTTTTAAAGTTCTTCCATCAAGTGATTCTACGCAACTGGAAGCAGTGTTATCCATGTAAAAACTTAAAAATGCATTCTTCTCAATCCCGGGTGATAAGGCTCAACATTTGGATGGTTTCCCGCTTTTCTTTTTCCAAAATTTTTGGGAAGTAGTGAAAATAGAACTTTTGAAAATGGTCAGAGGATTTATGCTGAGGGGAAAACTTTTCAAAGGGGTAAACTCGACCTTCATTGCTATTGTCCCAAAGAAGTCCACTATTTCGGTTGTATGATATTAGACCTATAAGCCTTCTCACAAGTTTGTGTAAAATTGTTGCTAAAATTATGACTGAGAGGCTTAAAAGGGTTCTCCCATTGATTATTTCTGGTCCTCAATGTGTCTTCATCCGAGATCTAAACATTACAGATAATGTGTTGGGGGCACAAGAGTGTGTTTATTCGAGATTGATTAGTCAACTACCTGAGGTAATAATTAAATTGGATATGGAGAAGGCTTATGATATAGTCAAATGGGGTATTTTGTTGAAAATCTTGAAAGACATGGGCTTTGGTAAAAGATGAAGGAGTTGGATCTTCGGTGTTTGTCATCTGCTCATTTTTCTATACTTATTAATGGTAGACCTAAAGGCTCTTCAAGGCCTCAAGAGGATTACACCAAGGTGATCCTTTGTCGCCTTTTCTCTTTACTATCTATGCAAAATGCTATAATCTTTTGATCAAGAATGTGGAGGGTGCAAGCAATTTTATGGGTTTTCTTGTGGGGAATAATGATCTTTGTGTGTCTTATCTTCAATATGCTGATGACACCCTTATTTTTTGCTAGGAAAATATTGTTCAAGTCTCTAACATTGCTCGTTTCTTGAATTGTTGTGAGGTAACTATGGGTTTGAAAGTAAACTTTGATAAGACTTCTCTCTTTGGTATTAATTGTAGTGAGGTGTTGGTGAAGGATTTAGCTGATGCTTTGGGTGTTCAGTGGGATCCTTTTCCTTTACCTATTTGGGCTTCCGATTTCTAGTGGGAGGCTACCCATTTCGGTTTGGGACAAAGTGCTACAACGGGTTCAAGGGAAATTGGATCTTTGGGAAACAAAATACCTATCTCTAGGGGGAGAGTCACTCTTTTAAGCTCTTGTTTGGCCAATTTACCCATCTATCAGATGTCGATGATGGAAATGTCATCCTCTATTGTTAAAACAACAGAATATATAAAGAGAGATTTTTTATGGGGATCTGGTGATGAGGCTAGAAAGTACCATCTCCTCCGATAGGATAGGGTTTGTACTCCAAAGAGTGAAAGTGGTTTGGGCATTAGAAAGGTGGGGCTTGTCAACCAAGCCTTGCTATGTAAATAGTGGTGGCGGAGTCTTAACTTTAGAGATCAACTGTGGTATTAGGTACGCTCCCAAAAGTATGGAATTGATGAGGATGATTGGTGGATTGGTGTTGGTAGAGGTAGCACCAATCGTTTTGTTTTATGGAGGGCTATCTTTCTTTGTAAACCACTGATTCATAGAAACATTCGATTGTATATTGGTGACGGATACCGGATCTCTTTTTGGCACCAGAAGTGGCTTGGTGATATGCCATTGAAAGTGGTTTTTCCTGAGGTTTATGAAAAGATGATGCACCCTCATGCAAAGTTACCTTGCTTTTTTTGAGATGCTAAACCAGGTATTTATTCCTAGGAATATGATAGAAGAAGTGGTTTGGGAGATAGAATCATATGGTGTTTTCTCAGTCAAGTCGGCTTATCGATTACTATTTCATGACTGTGATAGGTGGTCTTTACTTGAAGTGGATACCTTCTAGAAGTGGCATGTCCCATGTTCGAGTATTCCTTTGGCTAGCTGCCCAAAACAAAATCCTAACTGTGGATAACCTTATTAAGAGGGGGAAGATGTTGCCAAATATTTGTGTTATGTGTAATGCTGATGAAGAATCTGGGGCTCATCTGGTTTTTCACAGCCCGTTGGTCTCAAGTATTTGGTCGTGGTTCTTTGCTCATTTGGGGGTGTCTATGGCAATGCCTCAAAGTGTGTTGGGTGTGGCAACCAATTTAGCCCTTCCTCATCTCCCTAAGGCTGGTAAGGTGGTGTGGCAAATTACTAAGGCGATAATTATTTGAGAAGTGTGGAAAGAGAGAAATAGAATAATTTTTAAAGGTATTAGTTTACCTTTTCAGAGGGTACTCAATTCTATAAAGTATTCTATTTGGCGCTACTTGGTAGTAACATATGTGGGACATGACATTACGGAAGTTGATATTTCCTTAAACTTGGATAATCTTTATTATATGAGTTGTTATAGTAATAGGCCGAGATCTATTTGGATTCCATCTTCTCAAGGGGGGCTTAAACTCAATTTTGATGGGAGCTCTTTTGGGAATCCTGGGTTGGCTGGGTTTAGTGGGACAAATAGAGATTTGAATTGTGGGATAATCTTTACCTATGCTAGCTCAATTGGAGAGATCACTGCAAATCATGCGAAGCTCCTTGCTCTGTTCCATGGTTTGAAGATTTATATGGCCAAATATTTGAATTCCTCTTTGACTATTGAAGGTGATTTGATGAATGTCATCAGTTGGTGCAAGAGAGAACTTAGAGTTCTATGGGAACTTAAGTCGTTGTGGTTGCAAGTCCTTCATCTCGCGGATTTGATTTCAGTATTTTTTGTCCATTTCTATCGAGATGCTAATTCTTTGGTAGACTCTCTGGCTAAATTCGGTGTTTCATGCTCTGCTATTGTGATATCTGATGATGTAATTATTCCTGTCTAAATCCTTTTCTATCAATAAAATTGTGACAATTTTGGTATAAAAAAAGAAATAAAAGCAAACATGACTCCTTTTGTTTCCCTATGAATTTGGAAGTTTAAGATAAGAACACCGCATACTACAAAAATGACTTGCAGCAGATTTTTAATAAAAAACAAGACTATGAAGATGATGAACTGCGAACATATGCCTTCTTATGATTCTAATCCATTAAATTTCTATTCCAATTGCAAGCGAGGGGACGCATACGATCAAATGGAGCCTTTCCCATATATTATGCTATTCCTTGATGTCCAAACATATCTCAAAGGAAAAGAATAATCCATGAAAACTTTTGACTGTATTTTCCAAGTTACTCTCGAGTAGGGAAGAATAAAATAAGACTTCGATTGTAACTTTGAAGGTTTATTTTTGAAAGGTAAACATTCTAAACGAAGCCAAAAGATTTCCTCCTCATGAGGGAGGATACTATCCATTTCCTCCTTCGAGCAAAATACATGGACACTTTTTGGATTCAAATTTTGGGATGTAAATGATCTTGGCAAAACAATTTCGAAAATACACTCTTTATGTATTAAAAAAAACTTATGCCTCAAAATTAAATAGAGACAATTAAATTTTTGAATGGCCAGATCTTTTGTCACAAAACTTGAAATCTATGTTTTATTTTTTTAAAAAACAATTATGTCGTAATTTTTATGTGTTTTCTAAATTTTTACACTAAAATATTATCTAAATAAGTATTTTGAGCGTGGGAGGAGACACACAATATGCTCCCGTAGGATCATAGTGTATGCGCTCCTAAAAGAGAGAAAACATAGCGTGCAGTTTCCTTCGCCTACAATCTACACGTAGAAAAAAGAGAATTGCAGCGCTCTCCATGATTCTCCCTCGGGTGAGGTTTGTATAAGGTCTATACTAATGAAGTGAGGTTCATCACAAAATTAGCTGAAAATAAAATTTTGATGTGGAAAAGCTTTGTGATGATATGAAAATTTATTGCTGCCCTTAATTATAAAATTTTAAAGTTTTATAAATGACGATAATTATGTAAATCTATAAATATTGTAAAATCTTGAAAATAAACAATCCAAATAATAAATTATAAAATAAACTATTTTTAGGGTTATAAATTCTCGTTTTTTCATTTCTATGAATATCGAGGTCGAGACCATCGATGTGATAGTTTTCTATCACAAAAAGAGCTTTCTCAAGTGGATTTAGATGTACCGTACTCATACACTATAAGGTGTAAACCTCATATGAACTTTTTCCTGCCCTTTCGAAAAGTTTTTCCCCTCTCATGTAAAATCTACGCAGCTCCTTCACCTTCGAAGACGGCTTCGGGAAAATATCGGCGAATTACAGCACACAAGTCCGAAGATTTCAAAGTCTTGGGATTACTTCCCTCGCTAAGCCATATCTTTCACCTGTCCTTGCAGTAAACGAAAGTAGAGCTTGTGGCCAAAAGGCCATGGATGCTACAAAAATAAGCCAATTGAAGCTCTTCATTGAGCAATGCCAGTCTAATCCTACCATGCTGAGAGACCCATCTTTGGGTTTCTTCAGGGATTATCTGGAAAGGTGGGCTCTTCCAGATTCTTTGTTTTTAATGGAAGTTTTGCGGAGGAATTTGACATTTTCTTGTTTATTTTATTTGATTTTTTTGGGTTCTTGACTTCAGGCTTGGGGCCAAGCTGCCAGCATCTGTTTATCGCTCGGGGGAAACACCGAGCACCGGGGATGTGGTAAGGGACTTATCTCGTGGTTCGATTGGATTTTTGTGTCTTTCTTTTTCGTTTGAGTTTTTTTACTGTTCGATTGAATCTTCTTGGGATTTTCTTGTTGAAATAGTGAAAGTTTGTTACTTGGTTTCTGGCTTGTGATAGATTTCACTCTGGGATTGATGGATATGGTTTTCAATTTTTCATAATATGATATTCGTTAATAAGATGTAATTTCTATGATTCTAACTAATACTTTGAATACTTTAAATCATTATTGAATGTTTCTAATCAATCATCTCTACAGTTGGAATTCTGATTTGACCATTCAGCCGTTCTCTTTGAGAAACACTTCAATTCTAACAATTGATTCTATTTTATGATTGATGAATCACAGACCCAGGATTGGGATGGTTAGGTTTGCAATGTAGTCGCTTATTTCATTTTGTGGCCATCATAGTTGTGTTGGTTTTATTTGAATGTTCTAGCAATTTATCATAGAAAAAAAAATAAAAAATTCATCAAATATTTTTACATGTTTGATTGCGGGTTGACAGAGAAACTTAGGGGGAAGAGAGAGAACATATGACAGAGAAAAAAGGTGAGTTTGGGTGGATTTTCTGAGAGAGAATGCTGTTTTAGGGCTTGTGAGAGAGAGCCTGCAAACTTTTATATTCTCCATGCTTACATTGCATTTTTTATTAGTGCAAGCGAGAGTTTTCTGCCCCATGTATGTGGACAATTGCAGAATCATACAAATTTTTATGTTTTTTTTTCCTTTTTTATTGACAATTTTTGTCCACTTCTCTTTTACCCAGGTGTGGTTTTTTTGTTTACAATTGGTATCAAAGTTCTAGGGTTTGAGATCATTGTTGGGTATGTGGTTTTTATTAGATTGCAAATCTTTGAAAATGGCCGGAGGTAGTTCAATCAAATACAAAATCCCAAAGTTTAATGGTTTGAAAATTTTCACCCTAGAATTTAAAGATGCACGTTATGTTGGCGAATGATGGCTATGTAGTGGCTTTAAAACTCAAAGGAAAGAAACAAGAAAAGATTCAAGAAGAGGAGTTCAATGAGAAGGATGAGTTGGTCATGACAAACATTGCTTGGCTTTGGATAAATTTGTTTTGTTCATTGTCTCCTTAAAACCATTGGCAAATGATTTAAGGGCTGGCTTAAGGTTAATCTTTTCTTGATAATTTTTTTTTTCCTTGACAACTTTTAAATTTAAATACGAGTGATGGTGCTTCTTTGCAAGGGCACTATGGGAATAGAATTCTCTAATTAGCAAATTGATCATATTGGATGTGAAAATTGACGAAGAAGGAAAGATAACCTTGTTACTTTGTTCAATTCCATAATCATAGGATGGACCATAATTGTTGGGATCAGGAGTTGGAATGGTACTGGGCTTGGGGTGTGGGGCGGATCATGAAATACTAGAAGATCCCTATGGTTTGGAAGTCCAGTGTTTTAGAAAATGCAAGGCGGCCGGGGGTGTCTAGGCCGCCCAACGCTTAGGTGGGCATCCAGAACCTAGGTGAACCAGTAGAAAGAAAACTGTCTCTATAGTCTAACAATATAAGTATAACTGCATAACACATAAGAGTTGGGACTTATGGCACATCAAATGTATTGTACCCAAGTCCACAAAACACACACTCCTCCATACTCCACAAGTTCATATCCAATTATCCATAGGCTGATAGTCCACACTCCACAAATGGTTAAAACTTAAAATTTACCAATTACCAAACTAGTGAACCACAAATCCACATACACAATCAAGAGGAGGAAAGCAAAAATAAAAAAAATATAGTATATAAACTATAGACTTGACTACTTGAAGACTCAAAAGAATCTTCAATCATCATCCATCAGTCATCATCAGGAAAAGTAAGGTGAGCTGCACCAGCATCATATACATCGGAGTCGATGCCATCATCATCGTAATCATCTCCCTACTCGATATAATGGTCGTCCTCCTCTGTCTCTTTTGAATCTGCCTCTTCTTCCTCCTCTTCCTCCAACCTCATCCTCTGTGAAGAAGATCTAGTAGCCCTAGGATGGTCGGTTGATGTGCTTGAGGCTTCCATGACCATGTCCCATGACAATCCTTCATGCCCCTTGACTAGTTCATCATCAACCAACCACTCCATAGCATTGTCCATATTTTTTGATTTGAGGGGAACTCTCTTATCTCTCTTAGTAAACCTGCTCTTCAAGTATCGATTATACTTGACATAAACTAGGTCATTGAGCCTCTTTGGTTCAAGCCTTTTCCTGTTCTTTGTATGAATCTAGCATAATCAAATAAAACTTATTAATATAAATAATTAAATATAGAATAGTAATACTACAAAACTAATAACTATTAAAGTACTAAATTACTAATACAAATTACCATCTCAAAAGTACTCCAATTCCGCTGACAGCCAGACGAGGTAGTGGTTAGGCTTAAGATCCGAATGACCAATTTTTGTAAATTTGGAGCACTACACCCATGTTGACTCCACCAATTGGCTGCAAATTGATTTTGAGTTACAAATTTACAATTGTTAATTATATATAAACTATTAATTTACCTCGACAAGGGTCATTGCCGCCCTTGGGTGGGGCGTAGGCTCTGGGTGGCCGCCTAGGTGGGTTCCCTGGCGCCTAGGCAGGCACCTAGGGACAACTTGCCTAATTTGGCCGCCTAGGCTTGGGCAATGTGCCTACAGGCCTTTTGGACTGCCTATGTGCTGGGCTGTCCACTTTTTAAAACAATGTTGGGAATGCTGTCCATATAATGCACATGTTAGGGATTGAGATTCTAACCTTTTGGGGATCTTAATCCCAACCTTTAGGGATCTTGATCCCAACTTTTTGGGGATCCTACTATCAACCTTAAAGTGTGTGATAATTTATGATTATATATACTCTTTAAAGTTGGGATCTTATTATTTAGAGCAAGCAAGTAATGCAACTATAGGAAAATATTTTGTGTTGCAAGCTGGCTAAAAATGAAGGAAATCATTAGTTTGGTTGTTGTCTTGGTCTTTAAGGTTGGGATTGAGATCCCTAAAAATAGGAATCGGGATCCCTAACAGTGGGAGTCGAAATCCCAAACTTTAAAAATTGAGATCCCTGAGAGATCCATTCTGGGAGCAACAAAATTGAGATTCTAGAAGAGATCGCCTACCAAAGTAGGCGCTCTTGGTATCTATGGGATGGACTTATCATGGATCTCAATATTATAAAGTCTCTTGAATTTGACTTTGTTGTGTCTCTACTTCTTATAGAGGAGTCTAAGTAAAAGTCTGGTCTAGAATCCTCTGTGAATATGCTTGTAGCAGGTGGGAGATCAATGAAGAGGGCTTTAAGAAATGGCTAGTCAAGTTCCAAGTTGAAAGGTTGTAGGAAAGTTAAATTTTGGGGCTATGAAAAAATAGTCCATGCAGAGAAAAATTGCAAGGTACAGAAAGGAAACCAAGAAGCTCCTAAATCTAGCTCTAATGAGCTGCCTAATTCAAGTACTTCTCAAGGAAATCTAGTGGAAGATGTTGAGTTTTTTGAAGATGTGGAAGCTTTATCTATCGATACGGAGGAAATTTTAGAGTATTGGCTACTTGAAGCAAAACCATCTTTTCAGATCTATCCATAGGGATTAGTCTTATGAACACGAACCTTGTGATGACAATAGCATTTACATGGGAAACAATGACTAATGTAAAATACGGGGACTTGAAGATGTGAGAACCAAGCTGTTCAGTTGGGTAAAATGCACAATTCCTATTGTCAAACATGTTCCAGGTCTCAAAAGAAGTCCCTTAATTTTGAGAAAATTTGGGGAGTAAGGCTTCAAGTTTGCAAGCTGTAATAGATATCTAAAAATTTTAAGGCACTAGTGGTTAAAAAGAGCTCAGGCAATTTGTATGGATTTGTTAGAGAAATGGTATTGGGAGATGACAACATTGCATATGTAGACTCTGTTATGCCATGCCCCGTGTTTAGGCCACATTAGCGAGCTTGAACTCAAATTACTTCTTGATTAAGACCTCATCCCTTGTTTGAAGTTCTTAATTTGAGTTTTCGTGACCGTGCTTCTCTAGAAACAAAATAAATTACTTGTTTTATCCACTACTTGAAGTAAAGCATTTTTTGGAGTCAATTCACTAAGTCACATGAGAATAACTTGTTTTCCCTGTTGGAGGTGTTATTAATGATTTTCAAGAGGTGTGGATTTGTATGCTGAAAAGAAGATCGGATGCCTTCACTTGTTTGAGAACTAGAATTGTGGGAGCAACGTTCAAAAAAAAAAAACTAGAATTGCGGGAGCATCAAGTGGGTATGAATTGATAATAAGGGCGGATTTTACTCATAAGGTGTTTGGGCCTTATACCCTGTCCCAAATTGTCTCATTGCTTCTAGCATGACTTGGATGTTCTTCAAGCGAGCTACATGCAAGGCAGCAGGCTTGATAAAACCAGCGGGCTAGGAATTGAGGTACCATGTCCCTTTCCTCCTTTCTAAAATTTGATCTCTATGAAGTCTGCCCCCTTTCTCGAACTTGAACCTTGAGGTCGCCCCCAGCGCTTTTTTTAATTTCTGTTTTGGGGGTTGTGGTAGTGGATGTGGGTGGGGGGAGTAAGAATCCATAAGCTTTCTTGATTGAAGCCTTCTACTCTCAGAACCCCTTTCCCTATCCCTCATGTTAGAACCCCCTTCCTTGGTAACATGAACATCATCATCATCTTCTACTCCACTTATATCTACAACCTTTACAGAATCATCTTATTTTTTCTTCACCACTTCATCACATCCTTTCTAGCATTAGCAGGCACTTGTGTGCATGGGTCTACGTCCCTTATGATCCCAGCCAAATGCTTTTTGAATTGATTTATGCTGGAATTAATCCCTCTTTACAGCAATTACATGCAAGCTTATATATTATCAATTGGATGGGGAGAAAATCTATGGTTTCAACGCAGATTGACTTCTTCTTTCAAACTAGATGAAGACATGCTTACTTACCTGAAAATTGGACAAATTCACAAAAACCCATCTATAAATGTAAGATGCACATTTACAAATTAAGTATTGAATATAATAAGTTTATCTAGCTTTAGTTATTGTTCATGACCCAAGCTAGAGAAACTTCTATTAACTACGCAATGAAATTGGGTAAATTTTGAGACAAAAACCCAAATACTTAAATTTTGAAAAAAGTTACTTTATTTTTTCGTTGCATCGTACACTGCATACTTGAGTTGTTGTTGTAGTGATACTTCATTTTTGTAAGTGGTTTGAGTTTGGTAGTCTAATACAATAAAGTAACTAACAATTAAACTAAAGCCTCAACTACATAGTTACTAGTGTAAGATGCAAGAAGTATGAATAAAGTTTCAAAACAGTAAGTGACAAGTAAGTGTTTAGTAATTTAGAAAAGGAAAAAGTTTGTATAAGTGCGAGGTTCTAAACAATTAAATTAAGGCATACCTCAAAAATTTCACTAGAAGAGGTTGTTTTGATGCCAAAAATCCTCAAATTAATCATTTCGCCCTCAAGATGCATGGACATGAGAAAAAATAGATTTCAATTTTTAGAAACAGCGCATCTTGTAATGCGTTTTTGAATCATCAATTTTCAAGTTTTCATAGATTTGCTCGATCTACATTATTTTTTAAGCCTTAAATTTTATAATTACTTGAAAATAAAATTTAAGGCTATCACAAAAATTTCTAGTATTGAAACCACTTTCCTCAACACTATTGAAGTACGTGTTACTTTGATTGTTTAGAGCCTCGGCCATATACAAACTGCACCCTTTAGAAAAAGAAAGACAATTACCTAAATATATAAAATAGTAAGTAATAGAGTAGAAAAAATTCCTATGATGCTTGAGTTTATTAAGATTGTGCAATCTCAATAAAATGTCAACAAACTCAAAATAAAACTTGGTCAAACTAAACAAAATTACACGAACTGAAACTAGAATCCCAACGATCCCATCAATAAACCCTAAACCAACTTTTACAAACATCAATAAACCCTAAACCACCATCACTGCCACCGCCGCCACCACCACCACCACCACCACCACCATGATCATCGTCATCATCATCATCATCATCTGAGCCTTATACCAACTATTTGGGGTCGGCTACATGAATCCGGTTCCCCCATTTTTCTCTATTGATGGTCATTACTAAGTCCATAAGTCACCATATCTTTTTTCACTACCATCCATGGTTCCAAAAGGCGGACTTCCTAGTGCTTAGGCGGTTCAGAGGGTCTGGGCGCTTTGCCCAGGCCTAGGCGGTCAAAATAGGTGGTCTGCCGTTGGGCAGCCACCTAAGTGGTAGGGCACCCGCCCGCCTAGGCGGGCGCCAGCGTTTCTCCCTGGGCAGCTGCCCAAGGCTTGCGCCCCACCTGGGGGCAGAAATGCCCTTAGTTGAGGGGCAGTTTTAGATTTTGATTTTGAAAAAAGGGGTTTAAAGGTGAGTTTTAAGTTCATTTGAAACCTAACGAGCCTAATTTAGGAAGAGATAAACATCAAAAAACTAGATTTTTGTGATTTTCATAGGATCGAAGGGTTTCTCAAAGTTATGAGAAATCGAACATCACCCATTGAGATTAGATTTAGCTTTGAAGTTTTTTTAGGTCTATTAGAAGATGTTTTAGAAGATTTTGGCACTAAAAAATATTTCAGAGGCTGAAGTTTGGAGATTGAGCAATTAAAGTAAGTGCAAAATTTTATTTTTTAGATCGCCTGTTTTATTTTGAGAAATCTTCTTCATGATCTAATCCAAGTGGTGATCCGAGTTGGAAATATGGCTATAATCCGAATCCAGGAATTTCTTCCTTTGGAAAAGGTCTTTCCAACCAGAGGAGGTCTAGAGGAGGCGGAGAAAAGGTTTTTGAAGTATGCAATTATTAGTTTGTTTACTTTCTTGGGGAGGGAAAAGGTAGAATGGCCGACGGAGATCTGGGTTATAGCATTGATTCTTCTTCTGGCACTAGCGGTTTTGTGGAAGAAGGCAATGTTTTTGTCCCCTACCTTTAACCACTTGATTCTGGACCTTTGTTACCAGAAGGTCTCTTCCTTTTTGAGGAGGAGGAGGGGGAGAGAGGATTTGGCCGAAGATCTTTCTGTTATTTCTTAATTTGAAAGAGGCATATTTTCCTCGAGGGAATCTAAGGAATGGATTAGGGTATTACTAGCAAGGATTTGATCTCTGAAATTGCTAGGGAAGTTTTGGCTCCATTGTTTCATTGAAGCCTTCAAAAGCTGGAGTTTTTTGGACAGGTGGAACCCAGCCCAACCTTCTACCTAGTAGGATGCCTAGCAAGATTTGAAGAAAGTAGGAAATGAACGTTCATCAAAACAGAATAGTTCAAATCTAAAAGGTTTTCTAGCCTGCGGGGTGGGGCAGGTATCAAGAAGGACGCATTTGTGATCTGAAGTAGTTTTAGGTAAAGCACTAGTGCAGGTACCTGGAAATGCGGTCTCCCAAGAATTAGAGACCAAGAATCTGTCGATTTTGGTCATGACTGGTGAGGCAGCATGATTAGATCAGGTATAGGAGGCACCTAAAAGGGGAATCTCTAAGATGCGTACCGAATCGATAAAGTCCGAGAAGGATCTCATCGAGGCGGTGATGCGACCACCCTAGCTCTTCTCATGAGCTATGCTGCTAGTCTTGGTACACAGATCTAGAGAATTGTTTATGGTTTTAGATCATTGTAGTGATAAGTGCATGTATGATCTATGACACCATTTAGACATAAAGTGCACTACTAGGAGGTCGGGGTTTACTCTTCGTGCACATACAAATTGAGCCCCAAATTAGGCAGTGCTTAAACATAACAAACCACCTATAGCAGGAAAACTGGATTTGGATATATGAAAACCTTGGCAAAGCCTGGATGTTGATATAGTTGTTGTTAAAGTTGCAATGAAAATGTATGGCCAGAGTCACCCTGTTTACTGCAGCTTTCTGATCTAGTGGTTTCTGAAAGTGCAAAGTTCATTTAACTTAAATTATCTGGTGTGTTACACAGTGTTATGTTTTCGAGGACTGGATAACAAACTTTATGATTGGCCAAAAGATAAAGATTTTATGTTTCACAAGAAAATACGATGGTCTGAAGTGTTCCAATGGGAAATTACTGGAGTATGCTTAATCTAAATCATAGGTAAAAGGATGTATTTTAACTAGTCAAACTTGGAAATAAATGCTTAATGCCGGTTAGATGTACTCCATCTACATGTTTTATTTACTGTTGGGAAAATGGTTTTCTGTTGCAATGAAATAATCAAACAAAGGTCGAAGGATCCTTCTGTTCTTTTTCCCAATTTTTCTACACTTGTTTAACAAAAACGAGATTGTTGTGTGATGAAACTGATAGTCATTTTCTAGTAACGTCTTGTTTCCTTGTAGAGATCCAATACTTCCGAAGAAAATGATTATGACTTGCCTTACCTCGAAGAGGAGATTGGTGATTTAAAAAATAGTACTAAACAAACAGAGAAGGATGATTTAGAGGATGTCACAGTTGAGTCAGATGTTGCGCTGGATGATGAAACCGTAGCACCTGATAATGATCCTCCACAGAAGGTGCACTGCATATATGGTGAACTAGTTTTGTGCCATGATAAATATGTTGAAGTATAATTTAAACTTGATTGCAAAGCATTCTTTGCCACATGGAAAATTGATCACAAACTATTCTGGTGTTTAGATGGGAGATCCATCAGTGGAAGTAACAGATGAAATGCTGGATGCTGCTCAAATGGCGAAGGCAAAAGCTATGGCTGCAGTTTCAGAAGGCAGAGCACATGTTTTGCTGGAATCTGTTTCTTTTGTCTCGCTCAATTTAGATACCTTAAATATCAGCACTATTGAGACAAAACAATACGTATTTCAGGTAACCTAAATGAGGCCATTGAACATATGACAGAAGCTATCATCTCCAATCCAAATTCAGCTATCCTGTATGCCACCAGAGGTGAAGTGCGGTTTTTCCATTAATAGAATAAAATTTCTCAGCTTCTTTTCAGCACTTCACCTTCCCTTTATTCCCATTGTTCCTCATTAATCCTTTGTTCTCATTTTTGCAGCTAGTATATTTGTAAAAATGAAGAAACCAAATGCTGCAATCCGAGATGCGGATGCAGCTTTGAAGGTTTATTCTAGTGTCTCTTTTATTGGTCTTATACTTCAGAACCTTTATTGGTGCTTTCGTGATAAGCACAGGAATCCAGATTAATTATGATGCATATCATTGTATTTTTTTCTTAGTACATACCATTTTCCATGTAGTTCTAAGTTGCGTATGTATCTGATGCCTTGGAAAGTAAATTTAGTAGTTAGTTTCCTTGATCTTAGATAAATCCGGATTTTGCGAAAGGGTTTAAGTCTCGAGGCATGGCAAAGGCCATGTTGGGCCAGTGGGAAGATGCTGCCAAAGATTTGCATGTTGCTTCACAGTTGGATTACGATGAGGAGATAGCTTTGGTTTTGAAAAGGGTAAAATCTTCTTCTATCATCTGCAAAATAGTAGCATGCATCAGAAAATTGTATTTAGCTTACTAACTTGTCTACATATGCAGGTTGAACCTAATGCAAGAAAAATTGAAGAGCATCATAAGAAATATGAGTGCCTCCACAAAAGGAGAGAAGAGAACAAAGCCAAAAAAGTAAGGCGACAAATCACTGGGAGCCACTGGGAGATGAGCCTATCTCTTTTTTTTCTTTTTGTGTAAAATATTTTGTGTCAAACTTTTTGAGCTAATTCCTTTTTCTGTTTGTTTCGTATTTTAACTTTAGGAGTCTGTAAATGACATGCCTAAAAATATTTACACGGGATGAACTAAAATGAAGATCCAAAGGTGTACTTGGAGCCTCCATATGCCCAAAAGTTGAATTTAATGAAATCCTTATACATGAATTTAAAGTCACAGTTCCTAATGTTTACTCTTTTATTGGAAATTTTTGTCATAATTGTATGTTCTTAGTATGGTAGTGCATCACATTTCTTCAAGTGAAGTTTAAGTAGCATTCACAAATCTTCATCTTTCAATGCAGGCCATCGAGCAAATGGCTGCAGCAAAGAAGCTGGAGGCACGTGCAAATCTACATGATGGTACTCCTCTTCCTTTATGTAGAAGTTCTCTTGTGCTTTTGAAATTTGAAGTCAATGGTTTCCTGTTATGCAAAAGTAGGTTCTTGCTGTACACGTTTAACTAGGCTTTGTAATTTATCTTTAGATGAAACCATGTTTGCGCAACAATTTTCAATGTAATTGATATGCAAACTAGAAGAATGAAATGATTCTTACTAATGAAATGATTCTTACTTTTTCATGAAAATTTTTACATGGCATCAGAGGTAGAGAATTCCATATGTGGGTTCAGTGAATTCACTTCTTAAGGCTTGGTTTACACTATTTAGGTTTTATATCTCCTTCAATTTGGGGAAGTATGCTTACTGCTATGAAGCTTCCCCTATATTCTTGAACTGTGCCAGATAGTGGTACCCAATGAATGTAGTTGAAGAAATATCTCCTACGAGGGAGATGATATTGGTATTCGGCTTCAACTACTCATTGAATTCAACCAAGACAGAAAATTTTGATTGCACAAGAGGAAAAACGATCTGATGTTATGTGTCATGGGTATGTCTTATGTTGGTCTGGTTGATGGAATTATAGATGCATTCAGAGCAAATACCCCAAAAGGAGATAGCAAAGTGGTGGCTCTTGGGGTTTGTGGCCTTAAAATGCTTGTAAACTTGGTCTTTGATTAAGACTATTATGTTTTCCCCATGTATGTATCATAATGCTTCATGTTTATGGATTGCTTTCGGTTTGAGTGGACTGTACGCTACTTGTGTGTCTAAAAGCAGGGCAAGAATTGGGAGCTGAGCCCTAACTTGGCCATAGTGGGCTCCATCACTCTTGTCTTTTCATGCTAGTAGGCCTTCGTTAGTTGGGTGAAACCGCACCTTGGGACCATTATGTTTATTCCCATGGTGCGTATCGCTGAAGAGGGTCGGCATGGCTAGGGTGATATGTATTGTTTGTGGCCAGGAGATGAAAGAGGCTCCTATGTTGAATGATGTTTTGGGGTTTATGAGGACAAGTGCCAGAAAACCTTGACGATGGAATCATACACAGCATGCATGCTGCTAGTTGCCTGGGATCTCTATGGTTCTGGTGAATCTTAGATCTATTCTATGCAATCCTAGGGAATCTAGAATTTGTGTGATCTTGGATTTTTTGGTTTTGTGTGACCGTTAGCATGCATGTGCTTGAGAGACACTCCCCCATACAGGATGAAAGTTAGGAAGTCCTATATTAGTATTTTTGGTTTGTGCATTGTCCCTTAAGCTTGTCTTTGGGGAGAGCACTCAGAATCTATTACTAATTGTGGACTGTGGTACTTTTATGCCTTAACCAACTTTGATAGGGCAATCATGAGCCCCTTACAAGGGAGAGTTGTGGGTCATTTGTCTGGTAGGTTGGTTTGTGGTCTAGATATGGTTATGGGGTGGTCATGGATTGCTTGGTACAAGGATCTAGTTTAGTGCTATCATCTCTTCTATAGCTTTTTAAAGACGTATTTCAAAGGTTTGTCAAAGAAGAAATAATTGTATTATTTCTCTATTTGATGATTTATATTTTGTGCTCTGGATTTGCTTTTTGAACAAGGTTGTTTTTGGAATAAAAATCTTGTTCTAAAACAGGGGCAATTTTGGAATGACAAAATTGTTATTGTAGAGAGCAAAATTCGAAAAAATAGTGCATCGCCTGGGAGCATAAGTGGGCCACACGGTGGCACATAGTTTGACTTTTTGATTAAATGGAACCCATTAGCCATGGGAGCCGTGTGACAGTAAGCGTCTTGTAGAAATTGGGGAGTTAGGGTCCTATGACTTCTACGTGGTGCATCACTCCCGAGATTTAGTTTCTAGATGCCATGTACTTCCAAGAATACCTGCAATAGTTGATCGATATTGTTAATTACAAAACATTCTGAAATGCCAAACCTAGGTGGTTAGGATTTGGATTTGTGATAGGAAACAATTTTCTAGTTGGAGTTAGTTATGAGAATCCAACTAGATTTCGAAGTCCTATGAGAAATCTAAGTGGACTCCACCTGGAGCTAGAAGAGTGTTGGGGCGCTAGGAAGCCTCCTAGGGCATGATACATTGTCTACCCTTGATTCATGATGATTGGACAAAAAGGCTGGATGAGTGAGGTTGGCCATCTCACAATATGAATCTCCCCTTAGAATTACAATACAAGTTCTCTTTATATCCACTTTACCTCTAGAATGGTTTATAAAAGGGTAATGCAGCTTTTTCCTCACATCATGAATCTCCCATTTACCACCAAAAGAAAAAAAGTAAGAAAAAAAAGGAAACAATCCTTTTAGAGAGTGTTCCATGTGAGGAAACCTGGGGTTAGACAACGTGGACAAAAGAATGGGACATTCAAAAATTAAAGTTTTGGGTTTTGAGAGAGAATATAGATGGGTGGAGTATGTTTGTTAGGGGTAGAGTTTGTGATCTTCTACCTCCTTGTTCAAGAGATCCAAGTAGAGATAAGAAATTCTACAACCTGCAAGTCTATGATTGTTATCTTCACTCAAAACAGACAGGTATGAATTCTTCTTAGAGGATTTTGGTCAGTAAAAAAGAGAGAAGGTGAGGTACATCTATGGGGGTTGTGTGAGGCATTGAGAGTTCTAATTTGTTTTGTACGAGATATTTAAAGAGGAAGAAGTGCCTGCAACCTGTAGCAACTTACCAGCAAATTTTCACCCAAAACCAAGTTAAAGAAAGGGAGCTTATAATCTAGAAGGTTTAGGGAGATTCCATTGGGTATGTGATGTCCTGTGGGGGACCCTAGGCAAAATGGGGTTTGCTGATTTTCATCAGGATTGACTATTTAGGTGCACATGTTTGAGGACCTTGTAGCAACATTTCTTGTGACAATGTTTCTGGGGGCAAGGTATTTTTTTTCATTTTGTGTTTGAGTCTAGTTTTATCTATCAAAATTTCAGGGCAGGCATGTGCAAGTCAAGGGAGATATAGAGTGTGAATGAAGAGCTCTCATTCTGCTTTTGCTTTTTAAAAATTTTACCCTTTGTCACTTGGTCCTGCCACCCATAGTGGAGCGAAAGAATCTGATTTTTGACATCAACTACTCTATAGTGGTCCTCATGTCCCCTCAAATCAATGTTAGGATGACACTGCCCCCATCAGGAAACTTAGCCAAATGAGGATAATTGCCAGAATATCAAGAGATTGGGAGATGCAAAGGAGATGCACTCCCTCCTGTTTGGTCAAAAACCTACGACCAAATGTTTTACCCATCTCAGAAATGAAGATGGGTTTCCTTAAGCCTGCAGCCATAAAAGTGATATAAGGCAGAGACATGAAATGATGCACTATGCCATCTAAATCAGTATTTTAAAACTCAGTGGCTCGGGATTAGACTCTCCCTAGTTATTGGACTCGGCATGATGTTCGGTTTGGTTCAGAAAGCTCAGGATTCACCTGTCTCATTAGGGCATGGACCCTATTGTGTTATTTGTGGGACAAATGATTGGGTTATACTGGGTGCAATTCTTTAATCGTTTTAAGTAAACAAAATAAGCAACTTTTATGTCCTGGTCTTACATGTGCCAGACTTGAAAGTTTGACCCAAGAACTAGAATAAAATACACCAAATGAAATCATATTGTGCCTGAGAAGTGGCTATCACGTTCTCAAATACGTGATCCAACAGCAAGAAAATATGTTGGAAAAGTAGCAAACCACATTTGTCCATGGCATAGTTAATCGAAATCTCTCTGCTGAGGTCGCAATTCCGGTTCAGAACCCCGATTCGAAGGTTCCGACAAGGGATTTTCACGGAACTCATTTCATGTAACTCAGGAATCTCGATTTCTTAATTTAAGAATCTCGTTTTAAACCTTTTTGCAATCTCAATCCTATTTTATTTATATAATCCCAACTTTTTCGAATCTCGAATCCAATATTTATTGAATCTTGATTCGATATCTGTTGATTCCTGATTCCATATGTAATGAATCTTATTCATTTTGGTTTTGAATCTAGAATCCACAGCATCAAGCACCTCGGTTCATAGGTGCAGGGAATTGCGATTCAATCAACATAGAATCTTGCTTTAACCTCCATAGAGTTTCGATCCCAACTATTTTGGAATCTTGATTCCATGAAATCAAGTACTTTTGTTCATAGGTGCAAAAATCTGCGATTCGTCATATGTGCAATCTCACCTCAAATATTTATGGATTCTGATTTCCGTTTTTTGGAAACCCAGTTGGAGGACATTGTTGCCCGTGGTTTATAGGTGCTCCAAATAGTAATCCGGTGAACGCAGTGCTGAAGAATTTTTATCTTGAATCAACCTTCGAATGCAAATGCTTAGAGTTAAGATATTCTCAACATGTATGATTTTAATGTCTTTTGTAGGTAACAAAGGTATTTATAACTAGGGCGTTGGAGCATTAAATTCAAGAGAACTTGGTCCTTTGAACATTAAAATGTAAATACTCTATATCTTCACCCTCATTATCATAAGGCACAAAGCTCTCAGAACATACGGGATTTGCACTCTTTGTTTTTTAGTTTTTATTTTGGGAGAAATGATGTTTTCTATGTCAAACCTCTCTTTGTTTTGGACAATTGATGCTTACGATATCAAAGCATCAAATTACTTGTCATCCAATCTCGAGTTACAAGATGCAAACATCCTTATGTTTCATTTTTTTGATAGCAAATGACCAAAAAAATCAGGTGGCCTATATTCTTTTTGAACAATTTCATTAATGTGCATTGTAATGATCCATTAGAGAGATTATAAGTCGAGAAATTGAAAAATAATGTTCACATACATTTGTGCCAAGTTGATCAAAGAATGGCCTTGAAACTCTTTGTTATATAATTTAATTTTGTATAGCATTATTGGACTACTATTTTGGTAAAGGTTATAAATGATTTGGTAATACTTCATTGCCAAGTAGAACAAAGAATCAAGACTAACTAGTAACTATCCATGTGTCCGCTTGATGCTTCATTGTAAGGGTGGTCAATTGCCAGATGGGTCAATAC